TAGCGTGGCACTTGTTACTACTAGCTTCTTGTTACTACTAGTAAGGCGCTTGTTACTACTAGCGTGGCACTTGTTACTACTAGCTTCTTGTTACTACTAGTAAGGCACTTGTTACTTGCGAGCAAAGCTAACCGGTCTTGGAAGTCTCTCCAAACTCAGCAACTCAACTGTTTATTGCTCGAGGGTTCAGCAGTCAGTGAGACTGAGCGGGAAGCTGCTTGGTGCTTACTTCCGTGCTCAGTTGCCAAGCCAATGCTTGAGCCAAAAGAAGCATGGTGAAACATCTATACAAACATGCAAAGACAAAAAGCAAAAGGCTGGTAGGGACGCTCACGCTCGCCCCTCAGCCGGTAGCTACTCTAAGCTAGTGTCCGGCTCTCAGACCAGCCCGCGCACAACGTGCCAGCAGGGCGTCCCTTAACGGGCCTTTCTACCCCGCTTGGACAGTTCAGCGGCTCTCTGTCGAAGCCTTCCCGGACTGAACTCGTCCACGTCCACCTTGACCTGGTTGGTATACATCGAAGGTCCGAGCCACTTCCCAATCCGAGTCAAAGTGGCCTTAAAACCCACAAAAGCCTGGAGGCTGGAACAGGAAGTGATCACCACTCCTGCTTCCCTATTGGCCTTGCTGCTGGTCGTCCAATTGCAGCTGCCAATGACCAACCAGCCACTGTGGTCATCCTCCAAGAAGCACGTCTTGGAATGCTGGGCCCTTTTAAGCCCATTCCCGCCGCGCTCGCGGCCATCTTCTCCATAGGCTGCGCTCAAGGACCCGCCCTTGCACACGCGGATCCGGTGCCCAGCATTTCGGAGCATCATGAGGCTTTGGAGCTGCATCTTCGTACGAGACTGGTGCGTCATTCCTGAATCCACCAAGACTCGTACGGAACCTTGATGAGCTCCAAGCGTTTCGATCAACTCAGGTTGATCCAGGCTATACGCCGTTAGGCGTACGGATGCTCTTGGGTTCTCCTTCAAAAGCTCCATGACCCGAACTTGCGCGTCCTTGTTTCGGACGTACTCAATCTCTGACTGAGCCGCGCTCTTGCGAGCCGCGTGCCCCACAACAACCGCGTCCTTCTCCTGGACCGCGAGTTGTGTGCCTTCATTGGCCTTTCCGTGCGTCAACCCTTTGAAACAACCGCGAGCCGAGTCCATTGAGGGCTTCGACCCCTCGGCGCTGAACAGGCGTTGAGCCTTGTCCACCATCCCGGTGAAGCAAAGAGCTTCTGTGGATCGACCTCCGACACCCATTCCTTTAAGAGCTGCCGCACCTTTGACCTTGGCCAGAGAGCCTTCTTCAAACTGAACCGCTCGACTGGGAGCCAATCCCATCATTCTGGCTTGTTCGACGGCGGCATCAATATGCCCGCGCGTCCCTGAGTCGATAAAACTTTTGCAGGCGCAAGCTGACTGGCGAGGTGAAGTCAGCCGGATCCACACAACGTGTTTCCTTTTCGAGCCGGACACCTCCCAGCTTGTCTGCCCATCAGGTTTATACTCTAAGAGCCTAGCAGGCAGAGTGTTTCCATGATAAGCCCGTACAAGCCGATTGGCGACAACCCTGCCCAGGAACCAAAGCATCATGATCCCAAGGCCCAGGACTGCAGACTTGAAGATCAGGCCAGTGACCTGGATGGTCTGAGCCGTCGTTTCCCCAATCTCAAAGATCACCCGGACCCGAGGCTGCTGATGCTATCAAGCACCTCTTCAGCTTCTTGTTCCGTTTTCCAGGCGAGCGGAATCAAGCTTGCAGCTACCAACACCTTGACTGCCATGTCAATCGTGAACCCATTCCCGTTCAGAGCGTGCTGCAGCCTGTTCAGCAACTTGCGGGGCAAGAAGTGTTCTTTCCAGCTCTTGCTCACCAATCCTTTCCTCAATCCAATCGCGAACACTCTCGCGGTCGAAGGGCCTTTGACCTTCCGCGGTACCCTATGCCCGCGGCGAGGTTGGTGGTGAACGCTTCCGCACTTGCACACTTTCTTTTTGTGCTTCCTGCCACCCCGCTTTTTCCTTCTCTTAGCGTCTGGCATCTGGCGGAGCGTCTGTTCCACCAGCCGGTCTCTCTCTCAGAGTCCGAGCTCTCGTCGTCCCCACGATGTCGACTGCGCAGGGTGGAGCACTGGTAACATTTGACACGCGAAAGCATGTTCTCTCCGCCGCATCTGTCACATTCCCACCTACCAGCAGCAAGGGCCTTGGCAAGAAGAGTCGCGAACACCGCCTTTTTTGCAGCCCGTTCTCGCCTCCTGATCTCGCGGCAGAGTTCGTTGGCCCATCCCGTAGAATTCCAGAAGCTGTCCTGACATACATAGCGCTCATATTCTTCTGGCGAATTCACCGCTCCGCAGACGTAGCAAACCCAAGATCCCCATTCTTAGGTCGGCCTCAAAACAACACTTTCTTCACCCAGAGATTGAGGCGGAGGCCCGTCCGGGCTCCTTGGCCGACGAGGCGGCGAATCCGGGCTCCGGCTCCTTTCCCTTTTTGGCTTCGCTCCAATGGCTCTCGAACCCGAACCCCTCTTCTTCAAACGACTCCTCTCGGGGTCGCCCCTCCGATCACGGCCCCGTCCCATCGGCGATTCTTCCGAATCCGATCGGCGCTTTTTCTTCTCCTTGTCATCCCTTAGGATCTTGAGTCTCCTCGATGGCCTTTTACGTCTGCGCCTTCCTGAGTGAACTTTTTTCTGAAGGGCGTTCTTTCCTGCGCCGCTCTTTCTTGGTCACCTCAGCTTCTAGATCCTCTTCTTCTTCTTCTAATTCGGATCTCCCATCCTTGGCAGATTCCGAGGCATGTTCTCTTCCCTCGCGCTCATCGGCCGCAGAAGGAGTCGATCTCTGCTTTTGCGTGACAGGAGCTGACTGACCTGCGATTTCTAACTCAGGAGGCGCGGCCCCTTGGCCCGTGACCTCCTCGTCATTCACAGGCGCAGCATCGATCGGCTCCTTCTTTACCGACTCAGCCGATCCGGAAGGCGCGGCCTCTCGGCCCGCGACCTCCTTTACCGCAACTTCTGCGTCCGCATCTGGTGGCCCAGTCATCACTGCCAAGCCGGATCCTGTAGCTTCTGCAGAGTCTTCCGCTTTCACTGCCGTTCCTAGAGATGGAGCTGGTTGATCAGGCAATTCGATGGGTTCAACCGAAACTCCTTGGTCTCCCGGATCCTTTTCAGCGCGGACCAGGTGGAATCCGGAGTCGGTGATCTCCGCCAGAGTCTGGTCATATCACTTCTGGGAGTGAGGGGGTTAGATCAGCTAGGGGCCAGATCGGTGATGATTTTGCTAATTTTTAGGAATTCTCAAAAGTATAGTATAAGTAAATATCTTTTTAATATGAATATGGATGCTATTCCTTCATACAAAAACAGTATCGCTTAATAAGCGATACTAATAAAAATCAATCGAGACACACCAAAGAACCAACCTGAGTCAAAGAAGTGAAGGTTGAAATTAAAGTGAGGTAGATCTTTTTGCGAGGTCAAAAAAGTGGTAACCGGCCTTTTTTGATACTAGTCTTTTCTACACCGATGACCTTAAGCGGGGACTTTGTTATCCCTTGTAGGAGTGATTGAAACTATTTGTATTGCATACGGTGATAAGAACATTGCTTGTCGGTTTAAACGAGAGAACACATATTGTCAACATTTGATATTGTTGTTCTGGACAGCTCAAGTCTCAGCGTTTGAGATCATGTGTCACTTGACCCCTTGCATGCGTCACTTGACCCTTTACACGTGTCACCTGACCCTTTACATGTGTCACTTGACCCTTTACATGTGTCACTTGACGTCACTTGACCATTTGAACAATTGTCATATGACTCCTGACTGATGTCTTTCTTCGAGTTCTTCTGTCTTCAAGATGTGTGGCACTGAGATCAGTGGAAACAAATGAAATAGTAAACCAAGACTTTAGCAGTTCAGGGCATAATGATTAATGATGCCAGTCAACTCACTGTTAGAATCAGTGGTCTTGAGCCAAGTCGATTGTTTGTTCCAGTTGTCACTTGACACCTGCTGAATTGAGGTCTGACAATTGGTCTTCTGGCGCTCTACATTCGTGGAGGTGCTCACTCATACTTTCATTTCATTCATGGGCCCCATTTGTCAATCAATCATTTATTGAACACTTGGTAGTATAGTCACTTTGAACTGGTTTGCTCATTGATGACTTGCTGACTGTTTGCTGATTTACCACACTGATGGTTCATTTGATGTTGGCCCAAACCAGTCACATGACACATGACTCATGAATGACATTCCACTGATTCACAGAATCTTCACAACGCTTCAATTCACACATTGTTTTCTTGAAGATGGAGAGCGGCTTCTCACGCTACATGGACATGGAGGATCTGAGGAGGCTGCCGCCAGAGGGCTCCATCCCTGGTACGTACACATGCTTTGAGGCAAGTGGTGTTGGTGTGGTGTTGATTGACAGATTCATTCATGACAGACTTTATTGGAATGAATTTCTGATTTGGCTGGCCAGGAGGAAGAACGGATCACATTTCCACATTTCACTGAGCACCTTGATATAAATTATGCGTCTCTGCTTGTCACTTGCCATGTGTAACAAGGAATGAATTAGAGCACAGGTGAGGTCAGCCAGACTAGGTAGATTTGATAGATGAGTTACTATGCCTAAGGATGGATGGTGGGAGGAAGATCTACATTCCTGAGATCAACGACCATCCAAACTTCAAGTGTCTTGTCTAGTGTCACTAGTGTCTTGATCTCTGAATTGAACTGAATAGTAACAAATGACATTGGCTTGGTTGAACATGTTACATATAAATATATAATATATATATATATACATACTGAGGTGTGAGCTTTGTAGTTCACATTCCTATCATTCGCTTAGGAAAGCTTTGGAACTCATGGTGGAGCACTTCAAGAAGATCTTCAATTATGAGATGAACCTTGAGCTGTTGGATGGGAAGAAGAAGACAAAGGAGGAGTTCCTCCAGCAGTTGCAGCAGGTGTCTTGGACAATTATTTCATGGGTCAGTCAGGAACCTTTGGTTGAGTGTCTTAAGAACTTGTCATTTTGACCATTATGTCATTCAGTCATGTGGAACTTGGTGAATTGATCAAATCCTATATTAATGAGTTGGTGCAAGAGTCATTGGACTGCTGCAGGCCACTGACGCTCAGCCATTCAAAGCGCTTGTCCTCGCGAATGATGCGATCTGGTTCACAGTCCCATCAAACATGGAGGGCGATGGCATCTGGACCATCACTGAGAGCAGTAGCTTGGAATGACATAACTGACAGACTCAGTAAATGCAAATCAGATGTGTCAGACACTGTTCCGAAATCCCTTCACCTGCTCAAATATTATCTAAGAAATGATCATTCATCGCTTCTCTGGCTTCTTTTGTCGCCGTGTGGTCCTGAAGTGTGTGCTCAATGCCACCGGCATTCATCTTGTGATAGGCAAGGTTGGCTCTGCTGCTGTTTTGACAGTTGTTCAAAAACGTAAATCAATGAAATAGGTGTTGTAGTCAGTTTAAAGATCTGAAGTGAAATGAATTCAATGTTGAGCTGGTGCATCATTCGTTGCAAACAAGAGTTCTGTCAGATCCATGGAATCCTGACACTGACTATGAGATGGAAATGGAGAATTCAATGGTTGATGTGCTGGAGAACGCCCTGTTTGGCGAGGGGGGTATGGTGGAAGCCTTTGTTCATGGCTTGCAAGCCAGGGCCAGTGCAGCCAGCGGCAGCTCGGATATTCCAGTGCCGGATGACTGAGTCATTTGACATTTGACTTGACATGTCACTTGGAGACATGAGTTTTTAGATAGTGGCATGAATGAACATGCCATGGAGTGTTTAGATGTGGCCTGACTCTGGCCTGTGAAGTGAAAAAAAGCGGAGTTCTCCCAAGTGCATGCCATGCCATCGACCCAATGCTAGTTCTAAGTATCTCAACCTTTCATCGCAACCTATTTGATTGCCAGGTGCTGATTGGAGGCAAGCTTTGTTCTCACTGGCCTGGCCCTGAAGAGTACAGAGCATAGAAGTGTAGTTCACGTTGTTCATTCTCTCAAGGTCAAGGTATGCAAGGTAGGTAGGTAGGTAGGTTAGTTGGGTAGGTAGGTATTCAAGGTCGGTATTCAAGTGGACACTGGCGGTAGGTATTCAAGGTGAAAAGGTGACAGGTAGTCCGGGCGCCGGCCACGGGCCCGTGTCCTTGCCGGAGGCCTTCGGTTGGTAACCGAAGGCTATATACGCTCGCGCCCCCTGCCGCCGACCCTTTTGTTAGACCGCGGGCGGACCTCCGCCCGACCCCCGCCCGAATCCGGTCGACAGATTTATATGTATCTTGCGCAGGATGTTCAAAAAATGTTCAAAAACATCGGTTTTTACAGTGTTTCGTGGCCTTCGGCGGACATGACTTGCGCCTAACAGGGTGCCGGTGGTGTCGGTTATGCGTGCCACGCGGACAGGCTTAATCGACATTTCGTGGGTGTTGGGCACATAAGTTGCTTAACATATCCCCAACATAGGCCCAAGATAGCCAACATATCCCCAACATATGCCCAACATAGCCTCCAAGATGGCTCAACATAGGGCCAACATAGGCCAACATGGGGCCAACATACGCCAACATAGGCCCAACCTAGGCCAACATAGGCCTAACATAGGCCCAACCTAGGCCCAACATAGGCTCAACTTGGGCCCAAGACGGGCCCAACATAGACCACATGGGCGCAACTTGGCCCAACCTAGGGCCAAGATGCGCACCAGATAGCTTAACTTTGCTCAATATAGGCCCCACCAAGTCTCAAAGAAAGAGAGAGAGCGAGAGAGAGAGAGAGAGAGGACCCTGCACATACCCGAACCCAAATAGGCCGGCGCCCGGCTCTCAGCCGTAAGCCTCATAAATAGATGAGAGGTAGCGCTAGTTCCATTCTGACTTGGAAGCATTATTTAAGTGTCACATGACATGTTCTTGGTCAGTTGTCATTCTTCAATACTGTACACCAATGACCTCTGTGTGGCCAGGCCAGGAGTTCTACATGGAGCGGTGTACCCTCAGTTCTCTGTGTGGTTGCTCAGTACAACTCAACGTCTTCAGAAAGAGTTCAATTGGCTCCTCTTGAGTTGAGACCCTTGGACATCGTCTTATCTAGATTTAGATAGTTGCCTTTTGTCATTTGACATTTGGGACATACACTGGTGTTGGGAGTTGAGTTACAAAGTCAGTCACCTCTTCAAGGGATACTAGGATAAAGAGAAGGTGAAATGTGATACTCAGCCTCGCGAAGTGTTTGGTTCAGGGACATCACTGCTGAACAGTCCCTCCAAGTGTTGTCAGTTGTGCCATGTTGCTGACACTTCTTGACTTCATTTTGCGTTTGACAATTGATGTCTTCAATGTCATTTTGACCCTTGTGCACAAAGCTCAGTCTTCTTTCCTGGTTGGAAGTGCCACGACTATGACAGCCCAAACTCAGAGTATGAACATTGGCGAGCAGGACAGAGTCTCTATCTCAATTGTTGTTGAGAAAAAGCCAAACGCTGTTCACCTTCAAGATGAGGCTGGTGGTGGGGAGGAATCTGCTTCTGTTGAATCTGAATGGGATTTTATTAATGGAGCTGAACCATCAATTGCGGACAGAACTTGCCAGCACAGTATGTCTTCTAGAGAGCTGGGTTGTCAATGTGTGCATAGCAGAACAACCAAGAGAGGCAGCAACCGCTTTGTCAAACAGATTCGATGCAAAGACTGTGGTGAGATTTTGCAAAAGGTTCGAGCGCGAGAGCCAAGGTGTGGTGAGAAGAGTTCTTCACATGTCAAGACAGCCATACAAAATTCATCAGTCAATTGACAATTTTAGAGTTTGCCTGTCATGATGGCATGGCTAATTAAATGTGTGATGTGTCACACTAGGATCTCAGCCGTGAATAGTAAAATTAGGGACCGTTTGTGAGTGGCCTTGACATCCATCAGGCTTGGTCGAGCAGCTAAGAGATCCCAGAATTGTTTAAACACTCTATTCTAAATACGCTTAAGTTTGCAACCCTACT